AAAAAAAAAAAGATTTTATTTATTTATTTGTCAGAGAAAGAGAGAGAGAGCACAAGCAAAGGCAGAGGGAGAAGCTGCCTCCCCGCTGAGCGAGGAGCCCGATGCGGGATGCTGGGATCATGACCCAGATGTGGGATGCTGGGATTATGACCCAGAGCAGAAGGCAGAGGCATCCCCCAAAGGGGATCTTTTACTCCAGTCCTTATTAAAAAATTTGTAAGAGCATCTTCCTCATTACTTATCTCCTTACTTCACTGCAGAAAAAGCAGTCTTCTAATATTTACCTATTTCTTCTCAAAGATTATGCTTACTGGCTGCTATTTTACTATATTTACAGTTTGTACTAATTTCTTCTATGCTTAATCAGAATCAGGAGGAATGCTGTTTGGCTACCAATTGTTTTCTAATTAAAACAGAAAGTGGACTGACATTTTGTTTATTATAACAATGGCCTTCCTACTCCTTCAGTGCTGATCCCAAGATATCTTTTTCAGACTTTCTCATACTCACAAAATAATTCTTTTTTTTTTAAAGATTTTATTTATTTATTTGACAGAGAGAGACACAGCGAGAGAGGGAACACAAGCAGGGGGAGTGGGAGAGGGAGAAGCAGGCTTCCCGTGGAGCAGGGAGCCCAATGCGGGGCTCGATCCCAGGACCCTGGGACCATGACCTGAGCAGAAGGCAGACGCTTAATGACTGAGCCACCCAGGCACCCCCAAATAATTCTTTTTTAAATGAAATTTTTTTCTGAATGAAAATTTCCTCTTCTGTAACTTCAATTTTATTTTACTGTTTCAATATTTTTATTTCTCTTAGCATTCTCCCAACCTATATATAAGCTTTTTACCTTTTGAATATTACAAAAAATTTTAGTGGAAAGTGTTTGTCCCATTTAGACTCCAATTTGTTGCCCCAGAACTAAGTATAGGTAATGGCTTTCTGTGGATCCTTCCAAAAGTTTTCTTTTTTCTTATCTTTATTATGACATATATACTATAGCAATGTATAAAATATATATGTGATTTTTATTTTATTTTTAAACAAATTTTTATTTATTGGGTGCCTGGGTGGCTCAGTTGGTTAAGCGACTGCCTTCGGCTCAGGTCATGATCCTGGAGTCCTGGGATCGAGTCCCACATCAGGCTCCCTGCTCAGCAGGGAGTCTGCTTCTCCCTCTGACCCTCTTCCCTCTCGTGCTCTCTATCTCCCATTCTCTCTCTCTCAAATAAATAAAATCTTTAAAAAAATGTAAAAAAAACCACAAATTTTTATTTATTTTTAAATTCCATTGTAATTAACATACAGTGTTATTTCAGGTGTACAATATAATGATTCAACAATTCTATACATTACTCAGTGATCATCACAGTAAGTGTACTCTTCATCCCCTTCACCTATTTCACTCATTCCCCCATCCCCCCACCCCAACCTCCCTTCTGGCAACCATCAATTTGTTCTGTATATTTTAAGAGTCTGTTTTTTTTGTTTGTTTGTTTGTCTCTTTTTTCCTTTGTTCCTTTGTTTTGTTTCTTAAATTCCACATGTGAATGAAATCATATGGTATTTGTCTTTGACTGACTTACTTCATTTAGCTAGATCCTAGCTACATTTCATTTACCTAGATCCACCCATGTTGTTGCAAATGGCAAGATTTCATTCTTTTTTATGGTGAGTAATATTCCATTGTATACCACATCTTTATCCATTCATCTACTGATGGACACTTGAGTTGCTTCCATATCTTGGCTATTGTAAATATTGCTGCAGTAAACATAGAGGTGCATATATCTTTTAGAATTAGTGTAACTTCAGTTTTGAATGATAAACCAGACAAGAAGTTTCTGGGCATTTTTCCTTATGTACTGCATATATGCTGTGAAATGATTCATATTATGTGCATCAGTGGTGACCACTGTTAGCAAGTCCAGGGCTAATATTGCCTTTTCATGTTGTATACCATGCATAATTGTAAGAGGTATTTGATCAGGGATTTTTGCCAATAGCTTGTTATACTTTCTCCAAGCAAAACATTTGTGATTAACTTTGTAGCTAATCACCAAAACAAAATGACTTCTGCCATTTTTTAACCAGGGATGTAACTTGATCTTTTTTTATCCACAAATTCATTCATTTCATACTGGAAAACATTATTTTACATACATTCTGGAAAAATACATTTTACAAGTCAATGAGGTTATTATATTTGGTTCAAAAATGACTTGTAAGCTTTGATGGCTTTTCGAGTCACTGTTTGGCAAAAGTTCCTAACAGCCAAGGTGTAGTGGGGCAATGGACAAATAGATTGTTGGTCCAATAAAATCCAACTTTTAGATATCCATAGTTGTACTTTCTTTTCTTTTCTTTTTTTTTAGGTTTTATTTATTTACTTAAGATAGAGAGAGAGCAGCACGAGTCAGGGGGAGAGGCAGAGGGAGAAGGAGAAGCAGGCTTTCCACTGAGCAGGGAGCCTGACATGGGGGCTTGATCCTAGGACCCTGAGATCATGATCTGAGCGGAAAGCAAGACACTTAACTTCTTAACCGACTGAACCACCCTGGTGCCCCATAGATATTCATAGTTGTCTTTCAATTTACATTTTATTTTATTTATTTTTTTAAAGATTTTATTTATTTATTTGACAGAGAGAGAGAGAGACACAGCGAGAGAGGGAACACAAACAGGGGGAGTGGGAGAGGGAGAAGCAGGCTGCTGGCAGAGCAGGGGGCCCGATGCGGGTCTCGATCCCAGGACCCTGGGATCATGACCTGAGCCGAAGGCAGATGCTTAACGACTGAGCCACCCAGGCGTCCCTCTATTTACATTTTTATTTATTCATTTATTTATCGCTGCTTGGATGAACTTATCATGTACAGGCACAAAACCTGCAGTCTATATCTAAACTGCAGTCTTGTTTAATAGCTAGCTAGCTACCTTTACTACATAATTTTAAAAAATAGATATTCTATTTTTTTTAAGATTTTTATTTATTTACTTAACAGAGAGAGAGACAGCGAGAGAGGGAACACAAGCAGGGCGGGTGGGAGAGGGAGAAGCAGGCTTCCCGCTGAGCAGGGGGCCCCTGATGTGGGGCTCAATCCCAGGACCCGGGGATCATGACCTGAGCCCCAGGCCGACTCTTTTTTTTTTTTTTAAAGATTTTATTTATTTGACAGAGAGACACGGTGAGAGAGGGAACAGAAGCAGGGGGAGTGGGAGAGGGAGAAGCAGGCTTCCCGCAGAGCAGGGAGCCTGATGCGGGGCTAGATCCCAGGACCCTGGGATCATGACCTGAACCAAACTGAGCCACCCAGGCACTCTTACTACATAATTTTGGGAGTTGAAATTCTGTACTTGTTAGTTTTTTCATCACTACTTATATGTGTCAACTTACTTCTTTTGAGTGGATGATTTTTCTCTTTTGATGAATTGGAAATACAATACAACAAAATAGCAACAAAGGAAAAAAGTAATTTTAACAATGTAAACAATAATATACAAATTATGTTAAAATACCTCAGCAGAGATAAACTGTGCTTTTTTTTATATTTTAAGATTATTTATTTATTTATTTGACAGAGAGAGAGAGCACAAGCAGGCAGAGTAGCAAGTAGTGGGAGAGGGAGAAGCAGGCTCGCCGCTGAGCAAGGAGCCCAACTTGGGCTGAATCCCAGGACCCAGGGATCATGACCTGAACCCAAGGCAGTTGCTTAACCAACTGAGCCACCAAGGCGCCCCAATAAAATGTACTGTTAACTAATGAGAGAAATGGATGTAATCTTTGTAGTACATATGTAACCTATAAGAATGTGAATATGCTCAATAGCGTAATGGAATTTGTTAAAATTCGAATTAAATTTATATTAAACAATTTATGAAATATATGTAAGGTGGTAGTATCTTGTAGTGCTAAAACATGTTCCTAGAGTCATACTTCTTCAGTTTGCATCACACACAATTACTTACTAGTTGGTTATCACTTGCTTAATCTCTTTGCTTGTTTCCTTACGTGCAAAATGGAAACAGAATCTACACTACAGTGCTGTGAGGATTAAATGAGTAAACGCACAAAGCAGTTTGGATAGCGTCCGGCCCGAAAGCTCAGTGCTTCCTATTATTAAAAAATCTGTTCAGTCCTCATCTTAGCACTTCCCTACCAAAAACCCATCATTGTGTCCCTATCATTGACCAAAGGAAGTCATCCCACTCTTGATCAAAATACCTTCTTCAGGGCGCCTGGGTGGCTCAGTTGGTTAAGCGACTGCCTTTGGCTCAGGTCATGATCCTGGAGTCCCCGGATCGAGTCCCGGATCGAGTCCCGCATCGGGCTCCCTGCTCAGCGGGGAGTCTGCTTCTCCCTCTGACCCAACCCCCTCTCGTGCTCCCTCTCTCTCCCTCATTCTCTCAAATAAACAAATAAAACCTAAAAAAAAAAAAACCTTCATACATTGCCTTCTGTTTGGGCTGTCTGCATCTCCCTCACTAGACCTTAAGCGCCCAGATGGTTTTACACGATCAGTTCCATACCAGGCACTCAAAAATTGAGTTTTTTTCACCACGGACAAAGGTCCTGAAAGGAGGAACAAATTCTAGAAAGTGATTTACAAATCACTGTGTAAAGCTGAAGCATTAGAGCACCTAAAGAGGATTTACTAAACAACTCGTCTGCACAGTTGTCAGCCGGGCGAATCCACCACCTAGCCAAGCTTTTCAGTAAAATTTTTTTCACTTACGTCACTCGATCACTGACCTCTGACGCACAGGAGGCGGGATTAGAGAGACAGCTGGACTTCTTTTTTGCCTTCCCTCCTCCAATGGACCGGCGGGCACAGTGGCCAGCCCTACCTCTTGGCGTTTTCATTGGTCAGTTTCCCAGAGCGGGCGGGCCGTGGGGGGATGACTCCACCCACTCTATGGGCGGGGTCTGTCCTCCGTAGGGGCTGGGGCCGGTGGGGGGTTGCCGCAGCGGCCATCTTTGATTCCGCCGTAGCGGTGGCGGCTGTAGGGTGCAGCGTCTGGGGAGTGGCTCTCCCCTCCCCCTCCCCCGGTTCGGTGGCGGCGGCTCCTCCCACCGGGGGGGTGGCGCGACAGCAGTGGCATCTACGGCCATGGCGGCGACTGCTGCTAACCCCGGTGAGTAGACGGAGGACTGGGGCGCCTCTAACGGAGAAGGGGCTGAAGGGGTTGGCAGCTGAGGAGACCCAGGCTCAGGGGCAGTAGTTGGGGCTGAGGGCGCTAGGACGAGCGGCGGTGGCCAGAGGTTTGTGGGGGAGGGTAGCGGGGGGGAGGGGCCGACCCTAGGGAAGTGGGGAGACCCGAGGTGGAGGGAGGGAGCAGGCGGGTGGGAGTTCTTGGGGTGAGTTCTGTTGGAGCGGCTCCCTGCTCTGGGCTTGGCCTGCCTCCGCTCTCCTGGCGGCTTTCTGGTGTGTGATGTGGTCCTCTTTCAACTCTGCCCACTGGAGCTGCTTGATGCAGAATAACTGGGCAGAATGGCTTGTTTTACTTTAAAAGTAATTTGGATTTGTAAAGACTGGACCACGTTGCTGTTTAGCTGAAGTGTTGAACTTCCAAACGTTTAAACATTTAAATTTTAAATTAAATTTAAAAATCTTTGAATATATACTCAGTTTCTCTAGACTGTTCTACCCCACCGCCCCCCCCCACTATCCTTTGAAACGCGTTTATATATATTAAGTGCCTCTAGTGTCTTCAGCTGCTGAGGACAGAAGTTTGTGTAATGGTTGGTGTTCAGGGCAGATCTTGCCAACAGCTAGCATCCAGAAACCGAGGTTTAAATCTTGTTGGGTGTAGATCGAGGCAGTTCCCATTCTTTAAGAAAAGTTCAGGGGGCGCCTGGGTGACTCAGTCGGTTAAGCGGTTAAGCGTCTGTCTTTGGGTCAGGTCATGATCCCAGGGTCCTGGGATCCAGCCCTGGTTGGGCTCCCTGCTCAGCGGGGAGCCTGCTTCTCCCTCTGCCTGCCACTCCCCCTGCTTGTGCTCTCTCTCTGTCAAATAAATAAATAAAATCTTTTAAAAATTAAAAAAAAAAAGGTTTGAGGGTTCTTTTGAAAGAAAAATTCAGTTTCATGTCATTTTTAAGTGAACATCTCTTCAAAAGGGGGAGCTTGAATATTAAAAAATCTAGCCAGTCATGTCTAAGCAATGGAGTGGGGTGTATTGAGTCAGGTCTAGACAGATCAGGTCTCTAAACTCCTAGTCCCAGCCCTCTTTCCACTATATTAGTTATTTCTCCCTGGGAAGTATTTCATTTTAGGGATCCTAGATTACCTTGCAGACCTTGGCCATTCTCTTGCGAAATAAAATCCTTTTCCAGAAATCCCTATCTTTGATAGTCTTTTAAAAAAGAAGCCAGAAGTTGGGGCTGAATTACTTGAAAATACAGCAGTGAAAGGGATTCACTGGGGTTCCCATGTTGAAACTGAAATTGGATTTTTTCCATGTCTCTGAAATGAGTATTATTTTGTGGTACCCAAGTTTTGCTGTAACAGTTGAATCACTGTGAAATTTACTGTCTTTACTACCCTGTTTCTGGGAACAGAGCTATCTAAAGAAGTTAATTTGTCACATGCCAATATATTGTAAAATCTTTTAAAATTTTTTAGAGGAGAAGTAGATAAGATTAATGGCTTAAGTTCTATTTCAGGAACTGCTGATGATGGAATAAAATTGGAAAGATGCTATTATTATGGCAAACCAGACCTTGTAGTAAAATAACCTATGTGTTAAAACTAGGGAGTAAATAAACAGGATTTTAAACTGATAACACATTGCAAAATAGTTACATAACCCTAGTCAAGTTGCAAAGCATTTCTCTTATTAAGAGGTGTCCAGGGTAAACAAGTTTAGTGCATATGTCGGGACCTTTTTTCCAGCAGTGTGGGTGGGGCTGCTTTATTTTGTTTTTTTCAACAACAATGACCAGAATGACAGTTTCTTGACTACATTTCATTAGCTGATTCATATCAGCTGAAATCTGAAGCAGAAAATGGTATTTGTGTAGAATCCTTGCTTATGAAACATTTGATTTTATTATCCTTTGACAGCCTGCTTCTGCAATCTTTAGATTTCCTTTTTGATGTTGAAAAATTCTCACATCTCTTCCATGTTATTGGTACAACATTCAACACCTGGTAATTAAAATAAATTTATTTTTTTCCTTCATTTCTTCTTTTGCTCCTTTGAGCAAAAGGAAGCGATTATAGACGCATTGTAGACTTTTATAGCTTGTTGCGTTTTGAGAAATGTGGACTATGAATGGAGGGTCACAGGGTGGAAATGTACTGTGCTCAGTGAAAAGAAAGTAAATGTTTTTGGTGCTCCTGAGTGGTGCAGTTGGTTGAGCCTTGGACTCTTGCTGAGGTCATGATCTCGGTCCTGGGATCATGCCTCCAGCAGGCTCTGCCCTCAGTGGGGAGTCTGCTTGAGATTCTCTCTTCTCCCTTTGCCGCCCCCCCCCCACTTGCTAGCTGCATGCTTGCAAGCTCTCTGAAATAAATAAATAAATTTTTTTAAAAGATTTTATTTATTTATTTGAGAGAGAATGAGAGACAGCACGAGAGGGAAGAGGGTCAGAGGGAGAAGCAGACCCCCCGCTGAGCAGGGAGCCTGATGTGGGACTCAATCCCGGGACTCCAGGATCATGACCTGAGCCGAAGGCAGTCGCTTAACCAACTGAGCCACCCAGGCGCCAATAAATAAATAAATCTTTAAAAAAAAAATAAAGTAAATGGTTTTCAGGTCAGAATTCTTTGTTGCATGGTCAAACATTTCCTTAGAGCCATTTTAGGCACTAGGTACATACCTATTTCTTTGAGTTTTTTTCTACTTTATCTTTTTGCTGGTTAAGATTCCCTATAGTTCTTGTTAATTCTGTCTTCACAACTGTCTGCAAAGATTTGTGTAATCATTATGTAACTTTTCTCTCTAAGCTCCATTTAACTTAATCTTCAGCGTTAATAAGAATGCTTGGTGATCATGTTAATTGTACTTAAGAGTGTGATTTAGTGACTGTTGGTGGCCCTTCAGTATCTTGTAGGGGACCTGGTTCCCTTGCATTTTCACTATGTCTTAACATGGTGCTGGATCAAAAGTAGAGTAAGATATGGCTTATTCTCTACTCTAAGAGTTATGTTAAAGTAATAGGTCTAATGCAATAATGGCCTTTTCTTGCATGAATTGATAATCCCCATATTCTATTATTTTTCATTACTTTTACTTGTAGAAGTGGGTGGTAGGTGGTCCGTGAATTGTTAGGAGGCTGCCTTTTTTGTCTATGAAATACTAACAGTTTTGATGAACACTTTTTAAATTGCATGCATGATTCATAATGCATTGGCTAAGGCACTGGTTGGGAAGAGATTAGGTATTTGACTTCCAGTTCAGTATTCAAACCAGAGATTTGAATGAATTTGTAGGCATGTAGGTATTTCTTTTCGTGATTCTGGTAGTCTCATCTCACCTCTTTTTGTGCTAGTAGGTACCACTTATTGTGGATGGAGAATGTGGCAGAAGGTAAAGCAATGAACATTGTTTGGGTTTGTGAAGCTGATATTTAGGAAAAATTTTTCTTTTTCCATAATTTTCACCTATGTAAATTACCGTTTTGAAAGCATTAATTAACAATATTCATACCCATTAGCTTTTTTCAGATATGGGAAAGATAGGAATTTATGTGGTATAAAATTAAGATGTCAAGATATTTTATTGCAAAAACCTTTTTGAAAGTATATTAAATATAATTTACTAATTCAACAATTGAAATACAATTAACATTTTGAAAAAGAACCTTGATCTGCATATTCGATCTGTGTAGCTCATGCATTAGATTTGTGGTGCCAACCTGAATCTTCTTTATTTTCTTAAACATTAAGAAGTAGATACTTCTGCATTTTTGGAACTCTAGTTTTCTTATTTTTATGAAGTAGTGGTCTCTAATTTTAGTTTTTTGCACTATAGCCCTACCCCTCTACTCAAACAGTCCACTAACAGATGAGAATACTGTTTCCTGGACGTTTAATGAAAGTCTTTTGTGGTTCTCTGTGATAGAGGACGGCTTCTAAGGAAATAACAGTAGGTTATTGGTAGCAACACAGTGCCAAATGGTGGTTCATCTTCAAAAACTAGGGATGCCTGGGTGGCTCAGTTGGTTAAGCGACTGCCTTCGGCTCAGGTCATGATCCTGGAGTCCCGGGTTTGAGTCCCGCATCAGGCTCCCTGCTCAACAGGGAGTCTGCTTCTCCCTCTGACCCTCCCTCCTCTCATGTGCTCTCTCTCTCTCTCTCTCTCATTCTCTGTCTCTCAAATAAATAAATAAAATCTTAAAAAAAACCAACTAAGTTGTAAGAGTCAAGGGAACAAACCCTTTTTTCCTGGATTTTACTTAGGCCATGACACATTGTGGGTATTTCATTCCAAAACTAGTAAAATTTGAATCCCTGATTGTGGAAACTTTTTGGAACCATTTTTTTTTTCCTTCAAGCTATTCACTCAAATATTTATGTATGTATGTATTTATTTATTTAAGTAGGCTCCATGCCCAGCATGGAGCCCAATGTGGGGCTTGAACTCACAACCCCAAGATCAAGACCTGAGCTGAAGTCAAAAGTCGGACACTTAACTGACTAAACCACCCAGGCGCCCCCACAATATTATTTTAAAGGTTAATTCCCTGGTGGTACTGTCCTATGTGGGGGGTATAGAGCTGATTTTATGTAGGTATGTATTTAATAACCTTTTTAAGATTTTATTTTTAAGTAATCTCTGCACCCAATGTGGGGCTCAGACTTACAGCCCCCAAATCAAGAGTCACGTACTCTACCAACTGAGCCAGGCAGGCGCCCTTAGTGGATTTCATTTAGATGTAACAGTAAAAGAATACATTTAAAGCCTTTCTGAAATGCAAGGCTTGAGCTCACTGGAGTGTATCTGGGCCCATCATCCACACCCAGTGATAGGCCCTGCTTCTAGAGTCATCTGTTTTTAAGAATGATTAAACATTTATTAAGTTCCTACTTATGCCAGGTTGCACTTTCCTGTTTGTATGTTAGAAACCATATCTGATTTTTCAAATTAATTCTCTATAAACTTTTACATCTCTTCATCATTTTTTAAAA